AAGAGGGCTTTGAGCTGGGCAGGACCAGCGGCGTAGAGGGCTTTGAGCTGGACAGGACCAGCGGCGAAGAGGGCTCTGGGCTGGACAGGACCAGCGGCGAAGAGGGCTCTGGGCTGGACAGGACCAGCGGCGAAGAGGGCTCTGGGCTGGACAGGACCAGCGGCGAAGAGGGCTCTGAGCTGGGCAGGACCAGCGGCGTAGAGGGCTTTGAGCTGGGCAGGACCAGCGGCGAAGAGGGCTCTGGGCTGGACAGGACCAGCGGCGAAGAGGGCTCTGGGCTGGACAGGACCAGCGGCGAAGAGGGCTTTGAGCTGGGCAGGTCCAGCGGCGAAGACGGCTCTGGGCTGGACAGGACCAGCGGCGAAGAGGGCTCTGAGCTGGGCAGGACCAGCGGCGTAGAGGGCTTTGAGCTGGGCAGGACCAGCGGCGTAGAGGGCTTTGAGCTGGGCAGGACCAGTGGCGAAGAGGGCTCTGAGCTGGGCAGGACCAGCGGCGAAGAGGGCTCTGGGCTGGACAGGACCAGCGGCGAAGAGGGCTCTGGGCTGGACAGGACCAGCGGCGAAGAGGGCTCTGGGCTGGACAGGACCAACGGCGAAGAGGGCTCTGAGCTGGACAGGACCAGCGGCGAAGAGGGCTCTGGGCTGGACAGGACCAGCGGCGAAGAGGGCTTTGAGCTGGGCAGGACCAGCGGCGTAGAGGGCTTTGAGCTGGGCAGGACCAGCGGCGAAGAGGGCTCTGGGCTGGACAGGACCAGCGGCGAAGAGGGCTCTGGGCTGGACAGGACCAGCGGCGAAGAGGGCTCTGGGCTGGACAGGACCAGCGGCGAAGAGGGCTTTGAGCTGGGCAGGACCAGCGGCGTAGAGGGCTTTGAGCTGGACAGGACCAGCGGCGAAGAGGGCTCTGGGCTGGACAGGACCAGCGGCGAAGAGGGCTCTGGGCTGGACAGGACCAGCGGCGAAGAGGGCTCTGGGCTGGACAGGACCAGCGGCGAAGAGGGCTCTGAGCTGGGCAGGACCAGCGGCGTAGAGGGCTTTGAGCTGGGCAGGACCAGCGGCGTAGAGGGCTTTGAGCTGGGCAGGACCAGTGGCGAAGAGGGCTCTGAGCTGGACAGGACCAGCGGCGAAGAGGGCTTTGAGCTGGGCAGGACCAGTGGCGAAGAGGGCTCTGAGCTGGGCAGGACCAGCGGCGAAGAGGGCTCTGAGCTGGGCAGGACCAGCGGCATAGAGGGCTTTGAGCTGGGCAGGACCAGCGGCGAAGAGGGCTCTGGGCTGGACAGGACCAGCGGCGAAGAGGGCTCTGAGCTGGGCAGGACCAGCGGCGAAGAGGGCTCTGAGCTGGGCAGGACCAGCGGCGTAGAGGGCTTTGAGCTGGGCAGGACCAGCGGCGAAGAGGGCTCTGAGCTGGGCAGGACCAGCGGCGACGAGGGCTCTGGGCTGGACAGGACCAGCGGCGAAGAGGGCTTTGAGCTGGGCAGGACCAGCGGCGAAGAGGGCTCTGAGCTGGGCAGGACCAGCGGCGAAGAGGGCTCTGAGCTGGGCAGGACCAGTGGCGTAGAGGGCTTTGAGCTGGGCAGGACCAGCGGCGAAGAGGGCTCTGGGCTGGACAGGACCAGCGGCGAAGAGGGCTCTGGGCTGGACAGGACCAGCGGCGAAGAGGGCTTTGAGCTGGGCAGGACCAGCGGCGAAGAGGGCTCTGGGCTGGGCAGGACCAGCGGCGTAGAGGGCTTTGAGCTGGGCAGGACCAGCGGCGAAGAGGGCTCTGAGCTGGGCAGGACCAGCGGCGAAGAGGGCTCTGAGCTGGGCAGGACCAGCGGCGTAGAGGGCTTTGAGCTGGGCAGGACCAGCGGCGAAGAGGGCTCTGAGCAGGACAGGACCGGCGGCGAAGAGGACTTTGAGCTGGGCAGGACCAGCGGCGAAGAGGGCTCTGGCTGGACGTGGCTGACGTGAAGCTCTGGCTGGACGATCTCGGCAGGACGAGACCCCGGCTGGGCGCGCTTCTTGGCAGTTCGTGTGGCCTTTAATGGAGGATCTGCCTGGCTGGACACCAGCCTTTGCCGTCCATAGACAGACCTGATGGCAGGCTCGGCAGGACAAGACTCAGGCTCAGGCTCGGCAGGGCCCACTGTGAGCGGCGAATCACAGGACACCAATAACCACTCAACATATTCGGTAAAGTACCACCGAGGGCCCTCCCCGGACAGCTGCTCTCTGGTGGCGGTGTTCAGGCTGGCATGCAGGAAGCTGCAGAGGCAGTTGTCCGGGAAGGTAGTAGCTGGTACTAGGTTGAGGAACTCCTCCAAATGTTCTTCTAGGGAGCGGTCCTTCTGCTCGAGGCACAGCAGTTCAACTGCTGCAAAGTGGTCCATCTCTTTTCCTCTTTTTGGGTCCGTTATTCTGTCACGGGACGTGGTGGAGGACACACGAGGAAGACGACCAGGAACAGGAGAACAGGAATTTATTTTAACAAAACTTAGGAGTCACAACTCACGTCTTAATACAAACGATAACAGACCAGGAATGAGGGAGAACACAGGGTTTAAATATACAGGGAACAGATTAGGGAAAAAGAGGGTAGAAAAGATTGGAAGGGTAGAGATAATTGAGGGGGAGGGGTGGAGAGGGGGTAAAAGGGAAAGCACGTGGTTTACAATACATTAACTGTTGAATTTGTAAAAAAATTATGAGGGGATTCCAGGTTTCTTTAAAGGCAGATATATTGTTCTTTTTATGAGCTATAATTTCTTCTGTCAAAATAAAGTCGGTAATTAAATTAATCCAGTGGGTGAAATGGCAAGATGATTTCGATTTCCAGTTTTGAAAGATTATTTTTTTAGCGACTGCTAGAGAAACAAGGACTGGGGTTTTGTATTTGGAAGGGATAGAGCTATCTGAAGTATCTCCTAGGAGACAGAGTGCAGCCGATAGTGGGAGTCTGCAGTCCAGGATCGAGGATAGTGTATTAGTTAATGTGGTCCAGAGAGAGTAAACAGGCTGGCAAAGCCAGGTGGTGTGAAAATAGGTGTCTGTGTCCATGTCAAATTAAAAGATTTGCTTTAAAGTATATTTTAACTCATGGTTTGTGTTGATTAACATGCTAAAGCACATTGATTTTTAATTTTAACTGTAGTGTATTATTTAATATTACATTTAAAATTAATAATTGCAACTTCATTACAAATGTATTTAAATGCATGACATACAAGTTTCAATAGAAATGTCGTTAAAGTATATTCAGTTTGTGCTTGTTAGTACATTTAGCAGGTCACTTTAAAGCAAAGACGAATAGAAGTTATAATGAAATGACACATAAAGATGTGCTGAAGTCCTTCTGAAGGCGTTTCAAAAATCACTCCACAGTTCAGTTTTGGTCGAAAGCAACTACAGTATAAAACTCTGTATATCTGCAGGTTGTTTGTTTTTATCAATTCCATCAATGTGCATAAGGGCTGTCAAAATGGCTGAAAAGCTAAAATCGAATTTCCTTCTTAAATATTAGCAAAATTTGAATTATATTTGAATTCTAAATGCAATACTTTTGAAGTGTAAAAAGTGCTGTGTTGTCTCCTGTGTCCACAAGAGGGCGCAAGCGAGCACAACAAGCAAATATAAACCAATTCAAGCATCGCATCTTTTGTTGAAATGAAACGACATTCACTTTTTAAACTGCATTAACTTTTGAAACAATTGTTCTTTAATAAAATTGAATTTCCTTAATGTGCTTGCAAGTAAAATTAGGTTACAATAGTGTGTTAAACTGTGTTCGTGCATCAGTAACCTGAGAAACACACTTACACAAACACAGCGTAATGAACTACATGAACACACAACAGCAAACTGGCCTTCAGAAACACTCACTTCTACTCTCTACATCTACATATAGTTCATCAAAAACACCAGACGCTCTTGATCTGAGCGAGTGCTGAGCGCTTTCTGTTGACAGTGTTTCCAGCTGATGAACACACACACACACACACACACACACACTCAGCTCTGACCAATGTGCAGGTTTGGTCAAGTGTGTCCTTGCACCATTTTTTCGTCAGGGTTTTCGTCAGCAGGACTTTTCCCGCCATTTTTCACATTAACAACGCAGCCACCGCACTGTGTACTGGATAAGCTAACAAAAACGGTAACACTTTACAATAAGGTTTATTAGTTAACATGAACTAAGAATGAACAATACGGTACTTCTACAGCATTTATTAATATTAGTTAATATTAGTTTCAACATTTACTAATACGTTATTAAAATCAAAGGTTGTATTGGTTAACATTAGTTAATGCACTGTGAACTAACATGAACAAACAATGAACTGCTGGATTTTTATGAACTAACATTAACAAAGATTAATAAATACTGTAACAAATGAATTGCCCATTGTTAGTTAATACATTAACTAATGTTAACTAATGAACCTTATTGTAAAGTGTTAGCACTAAAACAAACCGCGTCAGTTACGTCATCATCATGTCTCGCGCCTCTTGACACACCAAAAATGCGAATGCACTGTTTTTGCATTCGAATGTCTTTTTTTTTATTCGACGAATATTCGAAATTCGGTACACACCAAGCCGACGGTCGGCCGTTTTTTTGCGTCGACCGACTGAAGTCTTCTCAGTGTGTTCCGCACCGTCGGCTGAAATCGGTCCTGAAATTGGCTTTTTTTCGGCGGTGAAAGAGGGAACTCTGATTGGCTGTTCAGCTTAGTGAACGAGTCGAGAAAACAGCGAGAAAAGAAGTCAAAACGGTACAGATAGAAGGCTGTTCTTATGTTACGCCATCTTACCGGAGTGTTCCTTGGCGAATATTTCAATATTAACATGAGCAGAGAGGAATAAAGAAAGTGTTTAGCAGGATTGATATTCAAAACGGTAAGAACGCACTGCTTTGTTTATGGTGTGTGTATCTGCAGCTTCGGAATGACAAATATAGACGAATATATCTGCAGAAATAGACAGTCGTCTCATTTACACGCCGGCGCCGAACGCGCATTTTCTCACCTTGTCTCCTTGTTCTTGAGAAATATCCAGGTGTCTCTGACAGCACACGGCTGCTTCGTCATACTGACCCAAAACCTTCAGAGTGTTTCCCAGATTCCCACTGGCTTTCCCTTCTCCGATCCGATCCCCGATCGTCCTAGATTAAAATGCAACTCGGTTTATTTTCAATGCCGCATGAAGCTGAAAGGTTAGTTTGACTCTATCAGTTGTTGGTCCTCACCGAGCGAGTGTGAGGTCGTGCCGATGGTACTCCAGCGCTTTGCCGTACTCCTTCAGGTAGAAGTATCCGTTTCCCAGCTGACTATAGATGGCACTGAGGGTCTTCAGATCTTCGGTTCCCACCTGAACAGCAGCTTCGAAGAATGCTGTGCCGCCTTTAAAATCTCCCGCTTTACACAGTCTCTCCCCCTCCAGCGCCAGCTCCAGACAAGAGGCTTCCATCCTGGAAAACACAGGGAACATCACGGTCTGTGTTACATTTGAGTGTTACATTCGGTGTTACATTCGGTGTTACATTTGAGTGTTACATTTGAGTGTTACATTTGAGTGTTACATTCGGTGTTACATTTGAGTGTTACATTTGAGTGTTACATTCGGTGTTACATTTGAGTGTTACATTCGGTGTTACATTTGAGTGTTACATTCGGTGTTACATTTGAGTGTTACATTCGGTGTTACATTTGAGTGTTACATTCGGTGTTACATTTGAGTTTTACATTCGGTGTTACATTTGAGTTTTACATTCGGTGTTACATTTGAGTGTTACATTCGGTGTTACATTTGAGTGTTACATTCGGTGTTACATTTGAGTGTTACATTCGGTGTTACATTTGAGTGTTACATTTGAGTGTTACATTCGGTGTTACATTTGAGTGTTACATTCGGTGTTACATTTGAGTGTTACATTTGAGTTTTACATTTGAGTTTTACATTTGAGTGTTACATTCGGTGTTACATTTGAGTGTTACATTCGGTGTTACATTTGAGTGTTACATTCGGTGTTACATTTGAGTGTTACATTCGGTGTTACATTTGAGTTTTACATTCGGTGTTACATTTGAGTTTTACATTCGGTGTTACATTTGAGTGTTACATTCGGTGTTACATTTGAGTGTTACATTCGGTGTTACATTTGAGTGTTACATTTGAGTTTTACATTCGGTGTTACATTTGAGTGTTACATTCGGTGTTACATTTGAGTGTTACATTTGAGTTTTACATTCGGTGTTACATTTGAGTGTTACATTCGGTGTTACATTTGAGTGTTACATTTGAGTGTTACATTTGAGTGTTACATTTGAGTGTTACATTCGGTGTTACATTTGAGTGTTACATTCGGTGTTACATTTGAGTGTTACATTCGGTGTTACATTTGAGTTTTACATTCGGTGTTACATTTGAGTGTTACATTCGGTGTTACATTTGAGTGTTACATTCGGTGTTACATTTGAGTGTTACATTTGAGTGTTACATTACACACTGGTGCTGGTTGAGGAGAGAACCCCTGATATGATTGTAAAGCGCTTTGGGTGTACAGTAGTACATATGAAAGCGCTATATAAATGCCTCATTCATTCATTCATTCATTCATACATTTGAGTGTTGTATTCTGTTTAACATTCTGTGTTACATTTGAGTGTTACATTTGAGTAGGGGTGTATCAATATACAATATATCGCAATACAAAAATGCAACAATATGTATCGTGTATTTCACCCAAAATAAAAATTACAGTGTGAGAAAACACAAGGAACATTCCATTCGAGTGTTACATTTGAGTGTTCTCTGAACGTTCTGAAACAAGTAGCAACATTTAAAAGCGTTAGAGGAACATTGGACTGCGGGTTCAGTGAGTTCTGGCTGTACGAGTGAGGAAAGAATTCAAGTCATTTGAAGGATGTTGCTGTTGAATGCATTTTGTGCTAAAGTAATGATAAAAGATCCAGAGTTTAACACACATAGACTGCAGTCGTGATCACTGTGTGAAGAGTCTTTAAAAAGTGATAAATTAATTAAAGTATTGAGAAATGTGTCCTAGAGATTGTAAAAAAAAAACTGTAATATGTACAATATGCAATATAATATACACTGCTGTTCAAAGGTTTGGAATCGGTAAGATCTCTTCTGCTCACCAAGGCTGCACTTATTTGATTTAAAAAAAAAAAAAAAAAAAAAAAAAAAACAGTAATAATGTTAAATATTTTAAGAATTTAAAACAGCTGTTTTCTATGTGAACATATTTTAAAATGCAATTTATTCCTGTGATCAAAGCTGAATTTTCAGCATCATTACTCCAGTCTTCAGTGTCACATGATCCTTCAGAAATCACTCTAATATGAGGATCTGATGCTCAAGAAACATTTATGGTTATTATTAATGTTGAAAACAGTTCATGTGTTTTAATGATGAAATAGCAACATTTTTGGACAGTCTGTTTCGCAGTCACATTTTGATTGGCACATCTTACACTGTGCCACGAAGAACTCAGCTAGGCTAAAGGTATAATGAGATATTTTTGTTATGATATTCAGATTATTTCACTGTTTGGTTATTGTTTGTCTCCGGATGCAGTTCAGACTATTATACGGCTTAATACGGTGTAATTTATCGACTATAATCGACTATTTACATCTGGTGGTCTAAAAGGTTTTTATTTCATGGATATCGATGAGTGGAATTTTCTAAATTTGTTTGTTTTCCTCTTTGTTTGATCGGTTATGTATTTTCTCACACTATATAAGTTTCAAGGCTCGGAGTGTTTGCATTGTTTCGGTCAGTCTTGCATTCTCATCACAGTTCAACATAAAACATTTCCATCACGCTCTCGGAGCTTCGTTGGTCTGAAAGTAATTATATCCAACCATGCTTTGACAAGAGCTTCTTTTCCATTAATGTCTGAAACGCTCATGGTTTTGGCTCGGCTGCTGTAGACCGAGAGGTTTATTCAGTTCTGCGGTCGGGAGAGAATGTTGGCCTGAGAAGTAGATGGACCCGATCCACCTCTGCTTTGTTTTATACTGGGAGACGTTTCTTTCCTCTCCGAAGCAAGAAAAACCACAAGATTTTGACTTGTTTCTGAAACGATATGAGTGGTTTCTAGGTGGTTTCTGGCTGTCTGGCATGAACAGATTCCTGCACCCTCACATCTGAGATTAGCACATTCATTTCACCAAGTCAAAACCGTGGCATTAATATTTCACATCTCAGACCCTAAATATGAGCATCAGTAATAGATGAGTCAAGTCACCTTTATTTCTATAGCACAAAGTGTCTAAAACAGAACAGTGCTAATGTTGTACAATAAAATTCATCGATTATTATAATCAACAAATTAAATTTCAGCTGTAAAGCAGATCTACAGACGACAATAGTGTCGTGATTCAGACCAATTTATGATTCAAATCGGTTCAATAACAGTGATAATGTTGCAGAGTTAGTGTCATTATTCAGCTCAATTCTGTTCTCTACCATTGTATATTAATATTAGCATATTAATTGACTTTTAAACCCCACTAAAGGTGATATCAACACAGTGATGCATGACAGAGCAAATAATATATTATAATATACCGTAAATCTATATTGAGTCTGAACTGAACTGGATTATAATAAGAACCATCTGTAAACCCAGCTAAAAATATCTGTTCTACGTTCCTATTAAGTTATGAAAACATTATTAAATGTTTTGAAAAAGTTTTATTTCGTGGTTAAGGGAACATTCCATTTGATCATTCTTCAAACATTATGGAAACGCTACTTTTGAAAGTTCTCTGAACATTCCGAAACAAGTCGTTACATTTAAAGAATGTTCCATGAACATATAAATCATGTTTTTAGGGATGCACCGATATTAAACATTCAGCCAATACCGATAACCGATAAATCTTTATATTTGAAAGCCGATAACAGACATATTCAAATTTGTACATCATTTTTGAGAGCCTTGTTGCAAAAACAAAAGTCTAGCCAATAAAATCCATGTCCCAAGCACACAATAATAATAATGTTCTTATTATAATTTTTAGCCAAAATGACAGACTTGCGCTGCACGTTGCATTGAACTGTATTTTCCTTTAAATCATATTCCAAGCTATTCAAAACCATCATGTTGAACAGTGCACATCTGAAGTGTCTCAGCTAATAATCCGAAGGATATAATCAATTATTTATCAGCTTTAATATATCAGCCAATTGTTCTTATCGGGCCGATATTGATAACATTATACAGGTGAAACTCGAAAAATTTGAATATCGTGCAAAAGTTCATTTATTTCAGTAATTCAACTTAAAAGGTGAAACTAATATATTATAAAGACTCATTACATGCAAAGTGAGATATTTCAAGCCTTTATTTGTTATAATTTTGATGATTATGGCTCAAAGCTTATGAAAACCCTAAATTCAATATTAGAATATTGTGAAAAGGTTTTCATAAGCTGCAAGCCATCAAAATTATAACAAATAAAGGCTTGAAATATCTCACTTTGCATGTAATGAGTCTATATAATATATTAGTTTCACCTTTTAAGTTGAATTACTGAAATAAATGAACTTTTGCACGATATTCTAACACCTGTAAATGAACATATATCGGCCGATACCGATATATCGTGCATCCTAAATGTTTCTGTTGTAACGTTTTGAGACCAGATAACTTTGAACAAATGTTCTCTTAACGTAACTCAGGTTTGCTCATCACTGGCTGAGACGGTTAGCTCGGTGTACCTGCACTTTGGTTTGGTGCGTGTCTTCTCAACATACACCCCGAGCTCCAGGTTCAGGGGTCTCAGCGTGACCTGAGGTCTGGGACCCCGGTGAACCAGCCGACACATGGCCATCTGAGCCCCGCTCAGAGCAAACGCTTCCAGCGACATGATCCACAGTTCACAACACTCACCGTCCAGACAAAACACCTGACAGTCACAATGATGGAGGTTCTGCAAGAGTCCAACCGGACTGGTCACATTCAATGCGTTTCAATATTTTGCCGTAACCAGAGCATCATCTTTCAAATGAAATCTCATGTTAATAACCAAAACAAGCTGATAGATCTCAGGTTAGGATCTGTTGAGGAACACAAACGCTGGACTAGCTTCTCTGAAATCCCGCTTTTAGGCATAAAACAACTGGTAGACCTTTCCTTCTCAACTCCACATATCCATTAGGATCAGAGAAACGCATCCGGCATGAACACACGGAGACTGAAACACTGACCGGCACTAATTCTCCTGAAGGACACAGCCAGATAATCCTGTCCCTGCTGACACAATGAACTAAGACCTCTAGTCACTGCACAGAGACAAAGATATAGTGTGACTCATATCATTTTAAAGGCTTGATATTGGAAATGAGTATGCACGTGTTTCCTGAGACAATTAGATTCTCTCACACTATATGAAAAAAATAAAACACACTAAATGCGACTAATTTAAAGTCCCCCTG